ACACAGGGCTTTGGGAAGCATGGAGCAAGCAGGTGGGGAGCGAGCGGGGTTCCCCAGAGCGAAGTTAAAGACGTTCTAGAATCCGGAGGGAGGAGGTCTCGCATTTGCATGGACAGATGCCATCATGGCTGGTGTCTGGAGGGGGCCACCATCCTCAGCCCTGCCAGCATCCGCGGTCCAGGGACCCTCCGGAGACTAACCTGCAGTTTTGTCCGGGGTTACGGCTGACGCTAGCCTGGCAGCCGGCAGTGGGGAAGGCAGGAGGGAGGGAGGAAGGAGCCAACAGAAAAACAGACCCAAAGCCCTTCTCGGGGAGTCGATGTCTGGCCCAGCATGTGGATCTGAATCCTTCCCTGGTTCTGGCCACACCGTCCTTAGCACAGAGTGTCCTGAGCCGCAAGGAGGTCACTGTGTTGTGACCCGGGGTGCAAACTCCTGACGTCAGCTTTGCCTCCTTAATAATCCTGGGCAGCTTCCACTTCTGCCCAAGGAGAACGCTTCGTCCCACGACACTCCCAGGTGCCCACTCACCCTGACACCCCCTGTCCCAGCCCTGTCCTTCGCTGGCCACTCTGTGCTGCTGGCCCTGGGTCTCCCCTCTATCTCCCCTCCGTGTCCTAGACACCTGCAGCCGGGCACCTGCCACCTGGGGCATCCTCAGGAGCTGGCTTCTAATGCCCCCACCCAGACTTCTGCATCTGAGCTCCGTGCCCAGGGCATCTGGGTGATCGCTGCCCCGGAAAGGGGTCCATCCTGGGGCTCAGCGGGGTGGGAGCGGCTGTTTTCTCCTCTGTGTGGCCGTCCCGTGGGGGAAGCCCGTTCTGGACTCACTGCCACGCATGAGCCAGTCAGTCCCCTCTGTCACGTCGCTTCCCCTCTGTGTCTCCATGTGTCTTCTTGTGTGTCCTAGACGCACACCTGTCATTGCACTGAGGGCCACCGTACTCCAGCATGAGCTCATCTCAGATCCTTCACTCGCTCAGATCTGCAAAGACCCTTTTCCAGAATAAAGTCCGTGCCGGTGGATCAGAGCTCTGGAGCCGCTGAGGAGCTGGTGTGTTCTCACAGGCGTGAGCGGGGTGAAGACTAGGGGTCAGCCCCGTCCCTGAGTGGAGTCGGTCCAGCAGGGGCTAAGCACAGGACCATTGCTGCTGGAAATAAAGCTGGGGGCCGCTTGCCACCTGAAGGGCTGCATTTGACCCTGGGCGGCGTCCTCACCGGGGACCCAGGGTCCTACCCAGGGACTGTCTCCGGGGGCACGGACGGGAGAGCGTTTCCCAGGGACCTGGAGGGAAGACGGCACAGGAACCCTCCACCCAGCCACTGGTGTGTGCGGAATATACTCCCCAATGCCAGGAAGTTGCCCAAAGCCGGCCCTGGATGGTGAGCAGTAATTAGGATTGTAACAAAGAGGAACACGCAAGCAGAAATGAGAACAGGAAAATAACAGTTTTGAAAGACAGGGGACTCATTCCAGGGAAAGTTCGCAGTGGCTGACCCCGGCTTCAAGGGAACAGACACACACAGACACAAGGGAACGGTGTTCTTGACCCAGTCACCCACCTCCTCTCCACCCCCCGCCCCCCCGCCCACCCTGAGCCCCATTGGGTCCGGGTTTTAGGGGTGGGGCCCCTGGTCGTGACCAGAAAAACGCTGAGAAGGGAGAGCCAGCTTTGGTTTCTCTTTAGGGGACACTTCTCCAGCACATTTGGGAGGACCCACAGAGAGGAGTCTGGGGTCTGGATTCCGCCCCCCCTCCCCAGGCCAGCTGTCTTTCCCACGGGGGACCTTCTCCACCACCCAGGTAAGACCCCTGACCCCCGGGGAGGGATGACGGGCATTAGGATGGGGCTCGTGCCAGCCACAGTGCATCTCCCTTGGGCACAGCACGCGGGATCCGAAGGGTTTACAGCATCCAAGGTTGCAGGAGACGGCGCGCGTATCCACCCGGGACAGGGGTGACGGCCGTGCTTGCATGCTGACCGGCTGGGCGTGCTGAGCCGCACACAGTAGAGAATGAAGACGGAGTTCCAGCATGCCGTCCCGTTCCTTGACGTGGTTCTTGGAACAGCGTAAGCGCACGCATGAGGCTGCCGTGCTGTGTGGTCCACAGGAGCTTGGGTACGAGGTGGGCACGGCGGCTCATTCCTGACGTCCAGCACAGCCTGCCGTGGAGCTGCTGGGGCTGGGGGCTCGGATCGATCAGGAAGCACAAATCCGCTGCAGGTGCATTATGCACAACGGCCCACATGTGCACAAAACATGCTCCATCCACGCAGGGGAACGGGACTCAGCCCCCAGAAGGAACGGAGGTCTGACACCTGCCGCCCGGCGGTCGGAGCTCCAGGACACGATGCGCCGCGAGAGAAGCAGACGCACGAGGCCCCTTCGTGCGTGATCCCATTGACTGAAAAATGTGCACAACGGGGAAATGCATGGACAGAAAGTGGGTCAGTGGCTGCCCGGCGCTGGGCAGGGGACGGGGACTGAGGGCTCATGCCCATGAGGTTTCTTTCAGCTGCATGGAATGTTCTGGAGCCAGAGAGAGGTGGAGAAGGCACCAGATGCCCCCTAAGTTACATTTTTTTTAAAGATTTTATTTATTTCACAGAAGAGAGAAGACAGAGAGAGCGAGCACAAGTGGGTGGGGGGCAGAGGGAGAATCAGGTGTCCCACTGAGCAGGGACCCCCAACTCAGGACTGTATCCCGGGACCCTGAGATCATGACCTAAGCGGAGGGCAGACGCCTCACCGACTGAGCCACCCAGGTGCCCCTGAGTTACATTCTAAAAGGGTGACCTTTATGGGATGTGCATTTCACCTCCATAAAAAATTAATTAATAGATACATTTTTAGGGGCGCCTGGGTGGCTCAGTGGTAAAGCGCCTCCCTTCCGCTCAGGTCATGGTCCCAGGGTCCTGGGACCGAGCCCCGCATCGGGCTCCCTGCTCGGCGGGAAGCCTGCTTCTCCCTCTCCCACTCCCCCTGCCTGTGTTCCCTCTCTCGCTGTCTCTCTCTCTGTCAAATAAATAAAATCTTTTCGAAAAAATACATACATTTTTTAAAACACAGATGCCTGCATGTCACCCCAGGACTCCCCCTGAGTGGGTCCCGTGAGGAGCAAGGTCTTATAGGTGATGATGCCAGACGGGGACACCGAGGACCTTGTTTGGGGCAGCCCTTGCCCCGCTCTAGGACGCGCACCCCTGGCCCCTCCTCCGGGCTGGCCATGGGCTCCATCCGAATGGGGGTTCCAGACCCCCGGACATTCGTGTCCACATCGGCACCCACCCAGTCCAACCGTCTGCAGCCTCATGCCAGCTGTGTTCAGTAACTAACGACAAGGCCCGGGCCGCTCTGTTGAAAACTCCGAGCTTTTCCCCATCGTGGATTTCCTGCACCGAACTTTGATGCATATGGTTTATGGTGAATATGGGCTGGGGGGCCCCCCAGGAAACTTGGAGCCTCACGCTTCTCTGTCTGCATGCTCATCCCGTATTACTAATCGACTACAAAACACCTGTTCCTGGGCGCCTCCCACCTCCCTCCCTCTCCTGGGGAAGGGGTCTCTAAGGCGTGCTCCCCGGTTTGGCAAGAAATACTTTCACTATCAGATCGTGCAAGAGTTCACATTTGCTGGAAATCATTGTCCGCCCTGTTGTCAAGACGGGAAATCTCCTTGCAGCCCCAAGGCTGAGCTCAGGGGAGCAGATGAGACCCCCGGTGGGGTCCATGTTGGGTCCTGTGATGGGGGCTGTGAATGCCTGGGACAAGACCAGGGGAGTCTGAGGCCCCAGCTCCTTGATCCTGGCTAAGATTTTCCAGATGGGTTGGTGTGTACGGGGCACATTTTGTGGGCAATTCTGAGGGGCACAGAGGGCTGGCCCCAGGCCACTAATGGTGTTTGCCAACGATAATATTGTGGGGAGGAATGGGGGCCCATCAGGAGACCCTGTTGCTGATGGTCCCAGTGGGGGCAGGAGGCTGGCCACCCAGGCGAGGGTCCCGGAGAGCCAGCCTGAGGAGGGGGGCTTCCTGGGGACCCTGGGAAGGTCCTGGCCAGGGCGTTGGGACCATGCAGGGTTCAGTTACCGTAACTCTGCCCGTTCAGGAAATTAGATCTGTGTTGACTTCACATTTTTAATGACACTTCCTTCCAGTGCTTTGTCATGGCAGGGTTTCCCGGTACCACGCGTTGAGTGTGCTTTCCTGGTTTCTGCATGAGGCTGGAGCCAAGAGCATGCTCAGACCTCAGGGTGCAAGTCTTTAAAGGCAGGCTGACATACACACAGGCATGCCCACACATGCACACACACACACACACACACACACAAGACAGGCATAGGTGCACGCACACACACCCAGACACGCACATGCATGCACACACATGTGCGCACGCATATACATGCACACACACATGCACACAGTAGTGGTACACTATGTGTACGTAAATGCAAGCACATGCACGTGGGTGTGTGCGAATGCACACACATGGACGTGGGTGTTCAGGAATGCCCACACACGGGTGTACACGAATGCATGCACCTGCACATGGGTGTATGCAAATGCACACAAATGGACATGGATATATGAAAAAGCACACACATGTACACATGCGTACATGAATGTGTGCATATGCACATGGATGTATGCGAATGCACACAAATGGACATGGGTATATGCAAAGGCACACACATGTACACATGCGTACACAAATGTGCACACATGCACATGGATGTACGTGAATGCACACACATGGACATGGGTATACACGTATGCACACACATGTACACATGCGTACGTGAATGTGAGCACATGCACATGGATGTATGCGAATGCACACACGCCCACACACATGCACGTACCCAGAGCCTTCCCTCCTGGAAGGAGTTCCAGGCTCGTGAGCAGTAGCTTCCCTAAGTTCACCGTCCCCCGTCCCACACTCTAACTGTGCCTTCTCTTCCAGCACACAACCTCCCTGCCGTGGGGGCCACATCGCTATGGCCTTGGTGTGGCTCATGGTGTTTCTGACATCTGTCTCCGGTCTGCTGCAAATGGAGGAAGGTAGGACGAAAACCCAGCTGTGGTCTGTGGGTGTGTCAGGTGTTTTGGTGTTCAGTTAAACTCCATGTCAAGATCATTATAGATCCACTGGCAGCTGTAAGAGCTGATGCAGAGACTGCCCATGTGCCCCTCACCCCAATCCCGCCAATGGGATCACCTTGCAATGCTGTCACGGTACAGTCTCATAGCCAGGATACCGACTGTGATAGGGTCGAGGTGCTGAGCATTTCAATGTAGCTCGAATGCAAGGATGCATCACCTACCTTGGTCCTGAGTCATTATTCCAGTGCGAAATTGGGTTTCACCTGTGTCTCCCCTTCCTGGGTAGGGTCACGGGAAAGGCTTTGGTTATGGGCTGACCTGTGTCCCCACCAAGCTCCTCCCTGGAAGCCCTCACCCTCAGAACCTATACATGCGACTGTGTTTGGAGATGGGGTCTTTCCAGACGGAATTAAGCGGAGATAAGCCCATCAGGGTGTGGTCCTAATGCAACAGGACTGGCGTCCTTATAAGAAGGGAACGTGTAGCCACAGACGTGCGCCCGAGGAGAAGGCCACGTGTGGCAAAGTATGGTCTCCTTGCCTTCCATGTGGCTCATACGATATTGCATCATGATGATGGGGAATATTGAGATCATTCAATGAAGGATAATGAGATTCCATAGTAACCAGAAGTAATGAGATGAGAAGATGCTGATTACAATCCCCGAGCCATCTGTGCCCACTTCTGACTGTCACTGTCTGGTCAGACTCAGGGGACAGGGGCGGCCGATGGGCATGCAGCAGGGAATGTCCCAGGGAGCCAGTTGGAAGCCAGTGAAGCCTGGTACAGAGCACAGAGCATTGACTTAGCCTGGGTGTGGGACCTGAGTGTGCCCAAGGCCACGAGGAAGACGGGGCTGCTAATGTCTCTGAAGGTTCGCGCTGACCTGCGGGAATGTCCGCATGGAACCCAGTCGCTGTCAGGAATTTTCCGAGTAAGCGGCGGACCTGAGACAGAGGCCGTCTGCATGTTTTCCACGCCAGGTTCCCATGGCATACAGACATGGGCCGAGCCCGGGGCCCCAGGCATGATAGGTTCTCCAGCAGTCTGGGATCGTATCCACCTGGTGGTTACATCAGTCCGGAAGATGTCAGCTGCAGTGACGGCCACAAGATTTCATAACCCCTTAGACGTTTATTCCTTCCTCAAATAGGGGTGGAATTCAGATGTTTTGTGGGGGACGGAGAGGAAGGGATTGTTCTTCTGAAGGCTGCTATTTAAGTCTGCGTGGGTGGCCAGAATAAAATACCATAGCCTAGGGGGCTTAATTTATGTCTCCGAGCTCTGGAGACCAGAAGTCTGAGATCCAGGCAGGGCAGGACCACTGAGATCCAGGCAGGGCAGGACCGCTGAGATCCAGGCGGGGCAGGGCTGTGCTCCCTCCAGAGGCTCCAGGGAAGGGTCCTCCCTGCCTCTTCCAGCTTCTGGGGCTCGAGGCGTCCCTGGGCTTGTGACCGCATCCCTCCCATCTCTGCCTCCATCTTCATGTGGCTTCTCCTCTGTGTCTGTTCATGTCCAAAGGTCCCCTCTTAATAAGGACACCAGTCACATTGTGTTAGGTTCCTCAGTATTCAAGAATGACCCCATCTTAATTAATTAACACCTGCAATGACCCCATTTCCAAATAAGGTCCCATTGTGAGGTCCTGCAAGTTGGGACTCCAGCATGAATTTTGAGGGGACACAGTGCGACTCAGAACAGGTGGTTTTGTCCCAGATATTTACTCCAAGATCCAGGGTCCTTCAGCATCTCCAGGAGCATTCATGGGTGAGAACTGGAAGTACCGTGATGTCTCCTGTAGAATTTTGTGGACTAGAACCCAGTCACATGGCCACACCCCATGCCCAAGGGGCTTGGAGATGTGGGATGTCTGGGAAGGGAAGGGGCTTCCCCTACTTCTCAGCCCGACACCCCCAGGTCTGAGCATTATCTTTGATTTGCCTGTCTTGTCCTGGGGCAGAGTCTGCTGCCGCCTTTGCGGTCACTTCAGGCCTGAGGGTACTCTAGGATTGCTGACCACAGGTAGGAAGTGAGCTGCTTTCTAGGAACCAAAGGCTGAAGGAGGCAGCTGATGCAATAAAATTTTCACATTTTCCCTCCTACGCTGGAAGCCCCCTAAAGCTTCAACGTTGGCCAAATTGCATTAAGAGGGCCATTGGTACAGTACTAGGTGGATTAAAAGTGTTGAAACCAGATGCCTTGCCTTGTTCTGCTCTTAAGGAGACGTGGTTAGTCTTTCACCATTGAGTCTGAATTAGCTCAAAGATTTTCATAGATTTATCAGGGTAAGGAAGATTTGTTCCATTCTTAGTTTGCTGAGATTTCTTGTTTTGTTTTGATTTTTAAAGATTTTTTTTATTTATTTATTGAGAGAGAGAGAGAGAGAATGGTAGAGAGAGAGCATGAAAGGGAAGAGGGTCAGAGGGAGAAGCAGACTCCCCGCCAAGCAGGGAGCCTGATGCGGGACTCGATCCCGGGACTCCAGGATCATGACCTGAGCCGAAATCAAGAGTTGGATGCTTAATGGACTGAGCCACCCAGGCGCCCAGTTTGCTGAGATTTCTTAATCCCAAATGGTTGTTAAGTTGGGTCAGTTTTTTGTTTTTTTTTTTCTGCTTCTATGGAGAAGATCATTAGTTTCTGGTTAATGGGGATGAATTATATTGATGGTTAAAGAAACCTTGCATTCCCAGAGTAAATCTCTTGGGTCATAACGTGTTACCAGGTTTATGTATTCCTGGTTTTTTTTACTAATATTTTCTGAATGGATTTTGTGTCTATGTTTATAAAGGGCGTTGGTCTCAAGTTTACTTTTAATATCTTTGATTTTGATATTGGGATAATGCTGGCCTCCTAAAATGAATCAGAAAATATTTCCCGTCGCCCCCACCCTTTCTTTTTTGAACTTTTGTGCACATGATACTATTTCTTCCTTAAATATCTGATAATTTATATACATTTATGTTATTTATAAAAATAAACTAAAATGATAAACTATACTAACATTAATATTTACTACTTCATCCTTCATATCTGTTTTAATGATATTTAATGTGTTGGCAGGACTGAGTGCAAATTTTGAAGCATAAGATTCGCTCTCTTTTTTTTTTAAAGATCTTATTTATGGGCGCCTGGGTGGCTCAGTTGGTTAAGCGACTGCCTTCGGCTCAGGTCATGATCCTGGAGTCCCGGGATCTAGTCCCGCATCAGGCTCCCTGCTCGGCAGGGAGTCTGCTTCTCTCTCTGACCCTCCCCCCTCTCGTGTGCTCTCTCTCTCATTCTCTCTCTCTCAAATAAATAAATAAAATCTTTAAAAAAAAAAAGATTTTATTTATTTATGTGACATAGAGACACAGCGAGAGAGGGAACACAAGCAGGGGGAGTGGGAGAGGGAGAAGCAGGCTTCCTGCAGAGGAGGGAGCCCAATGAGGACCCTGAGATCTTGACCTGAGCCGAAGGCAGACGCTTAACGACTGAGCCACCCAGGCACCCCTGAAGCGTAAGACTCTCTTAAGAGGGTGTTATACACAACTGATAAATTATTGAACACTACATCTGAAACTAATGACGTACTATATGTTGGCTAATTGAATTTAAATTAAAAAAGAATCTATCAAGAATTACATTTTCAACTTAAAAGAAATTTCTCCAAATGAATTTTTTTATTATTATGAAGGAATAAATTGTCCTTATATGTTAGAAGAAAATAATGGCAGAAACCAAGGTGTTGATATGGTTTGGTCTTGCTTATGAAACTAAGGCTGTCGATCTTGATAACTAATCACGATACTTACAGTTTATAAACTCTGTGAACGTTTATGAAAGTCATATCCTGTAAGTCCTTGAAAGGAGTCACAGATAAAATCTCACCAAGTATTTGTTGTAGCTTTACAGACTTATTGGCAAAACATGACTCAGTAGCGCCTTGGACATGGGCAAGCAAGACTTTGATGAGAGATGTTGAGCTCTGTGGTCTGCCACTAGAGACCCCCTTTCCCAGGGACCCTGTGGCAGGAATGCGTGAGCTTTGATTCCATTTCAAAACATAATCAGATGTATGTACTCACGGAGTTTTTCCAGCAATATCAGAATTGCTCCAACAGCCTGTGAACCGTGGAAGGTCATGAATATCATTCTAATGACCATGCCTTATATTTTCAAAGTAGAACAAAAAAAAAAAAAAAAGGAAATGCATCTTTGATGGCCATTGGCAACCACTAGTCCCAGAATCGTTGACCTTGAGAGATGTATGTAAGCCAGAATTTGTTCTCGGTTCTCAGGGAAAGTAACATGGTCACAAAAGGTACATTTAACATAAATGGGGATGGCAGAAAGTGACCGGCTTCACCCAACTTTTGGGGTTGTTTTCCTCCATCACTGGGAGGGCAGGCTAATGAGAGGAGTAAGGCGCTGTTGATTGATGGCTTCGGCCAGGTCCCGGCAATGCCTTGTCCATGTAGAATTCTGCTTCCCGAGGTTGTCGGTGAATTCGGTGGGAGGAAGTTCCCATGGCGGTAAGGGTTCAAACATCCGCAATATTTCTTCTAACTCTGACCTCTAAACATTTCAGATCCCAATTTACTGATTAAGAACCTAAGGATGGAGCCGGGAGAAAGGAGACTGACCTGGGACCTCCATGGAAATGCTTCTGAAATTATGTGTTTCATAAATTCAAAACTTATCACTAAGGTACTTCCCTGTACTTGGCACACTGGAGCTTCTGTGACTTTTGGGGACTTAAGAGCTAGCAGAACCCCAGGGCCAAGTCCAGCTCAGACATCACAGAGGTGGGGGTTCTACTCTGGGCTTGGGTGTAGAATGTGGGGTCTATTCCCGGCACTACAGCTCAGTGTTTGCCACCTGGAGGATGTCCAAGATGGTGCCCCTGGAGAGCGTTGGTGAGAAAATGTGTTCAGGGATTGCAGGTAGAGAACCAAACCCAGCTGAAAGTGAGTGCTCGCCTTCCCTCCATTTCCCGCCCCTCACCCAAATCTAGTACTGTGTCATCTTCCGAGGCTCAGGGGTCTTGAGAACTGTGACAGATCCCATGGGTGGGCCATGGAGAGAATACAATATATTCACAGCTCATAGAGCCTCATGAGGAAGAGGCACCTGTCAACATCCTTGAGAATGAATTTGCTGTCTTGAGATGATTCCTGATTTAATACAATATAAGTCACAACCTGGGCCCCCATAACAAATACCCTAGAGGAAGGGGCTCATACAACGCACATTTATTCCTCCCACTCCTGGAGGCTGGGAGTCTGAGATCCAAGTTGGGGCTGAGGCTGGTTTCTCCTGAGACCTCTCTCCTGGGCGTGTAGACACACTATGTCCATTCTCTGTCCTCATGTGGTCGTCCTTCTGTGCATGTCTGTGTCCTCATCCCCCTCTTCTTATAAGGACCCCAGTCCTATGGGATCAGGGCCCACCCTACTGACCTCATTTTACCTTAATCCACTCTTTAAAGACCCAATGTCCACATACAACCACTTTCTGAGGTCCTGGGATGAGGGCTTCATCATGAATTTTGGGGGACACAATCCAGTTCATGACAAGCCTCGGTGGGATTTCATTGGAGCTTGGCCAGTTGACTCTAAACTCTGTCTGGAACAACGCAGCCTACAGAAGAACCAAGAAATGTTGATAAAGAACACTAGTGATCAGGAATTTGCCTTTCCATGATGTCTCCAAATGTGCTGAGAAGCTATGATTATCCGAAGTATCAGATTGACAGAATGCATGGATAGATTAAAGAAATGGAACAATCCGGAAGCAGAAACATGCATTGGTGGCAGGTGGGGGTAGGGTGGATTTTAACTAAGACGATATTTCAAGTCGATATAGAAGCGATAGAGTGTTGTATGCATGAAGTCAGCACAATTTCCAAAATGCACTAAAATTAAGTTGGATTCCTACTTCACAATGTCCATGCACGTAAATTGCATGTAGGAGAGATCTAGATATTCTTTCTCGGTACCGAAGATGTAGAAGTAATTGCTGAGGACTGTTTCAAGATACCGGACCCTGTTGTCATTCCCTCATCTGCTGTTGGTTTTCCCTAAATTGAATTCATTTCTGTTTTGTTAACGGTCTTTGCGTTTTTGTCCAGTTTTCCCATGTATCTGTGCTACTTGAACGTTACGCTCTTGGCCAAATGGGTAAATATTGTGTTGAACCATTCGGTTTGGTGTGTTTGTCCTCAACGGAGACGGGTTCCCCTTCACAGTGGGTGGAGTCTGCCCCACTCCTGTTTTCATGATCTGCATACATGAAGACCTCCATCCTCGGGCTGCCAGAGAATGCTCAGAAGCAGCGCTGAGCACAGCTACGGGAGGTTTGGGAAAACACTTGTCTACCCCGCATTCTGCTGTTCTGAACTTCCTTTTAGAAGCCTTTATGGAACCCGAGTTCCTCAGACAAGAGACAGTGACTGTGTTTGTGAACCTCACCTCAATTACCCAAGGAAGTTTTAGATCAGTGCCGAAAACTGCACAAAGGCGCACATTTTCCCAGAGCTTCAGATGCGTTGTGTTAATATGTATTTAACAACTAGTCTGGTTGAATCTGTTACATATACGATTAACTAGATAGAGGTCTTCTTCATTTATTGATTACATTTTCCACCAACTGGGGGCGCTGGCTGGCTCATTTCGTAGAATGTGCGACTCTTGATGTCAGGGGGTCGTGAGTTTGAGCTCTACGTTGGGTGTAGAGATGACTTAAAAAGAAAGTCTTAAGAAAATAACCTTCTGCTTATTAATCCATTCGGAGCCTCACATCATTTTCTACTTATATTAACTTATTATACAATACAGGTATGAAGCTGGAATTCATCATGAGCTTGATAAGTATTTTCCTTTCGTTTTTGTTCCATGTGACATTCAATTTTTATTTCCTCATTTTCCCAGCTTTTCCATGCCAACTTCTTTTGTCATTTGATCCTTAGAAAAGGGTCGATTTATTCATAATGGAATTCCTTACATGGAATACTCATTTATTTATTATAAATGGAATTATTTTACAGAAATTTTTGTACAGTTTTAAACAATTAATAAACTTCACTTTTTTCCCAGAGCAGTGTGAGGTTCACAGGAAAATTGAGAGGAAGGTATAGAGCCCCCAACCCCCTGCCCCCACACAGGCATGGCCTCCCCGCTATGAGCCTCCCCACCAGATGGCACAGTCGTTACGACTGATGAACGTGCTTGGGCACATCATCCTCACCCAGAGTGCACAGTTTATCGAAGGCTCACTCTTACTGTGTGATTTGGTGACTTTCAACAAATGGAGAATGATACGTTTTTTGTTTTTTGTTTTGTTTTGTTTTGTTTGAATGATACGTTTTATACAGAACAATGTCACTGCCCTAAAAAAAAAAAAAAATCCTGTGCTCCTCACCTGTTCACATCTCCCTCCCTCTCCACCAACCAGTAATTTATACACTGTCTCCGGTTTGTCGACCACCACAAAATAAATTGCTGGGGTTTTGATGAAGATTGCGTGGAATCTATGGAGCAAGTCCTGGAGACTTATGGTTTTGTTGGTGTTGTTATTGTTGCTGTTGTTGTTGTTAAATCTGAATTTCATCAGCATGACTCTACGTGTGTTCTTTCAACAATGAATAAATGGTTCTCTCTCTCTCTCTCAGGCCATCGACAACAACCGTTACTGCCAGTTCCAAGTAGTTCCCTTATGTGAAGTGAAAAACTTCACCATCTCCTTGACCAAAGGCCCACCATTCTTGATGGGGATTCAGTATCCTCTGCAAGGTGAGCGGAACGTGTTCCTCTTTGGGTTTTATTTGCTTTCAGTCATTGGTTGGTTGTAGGAATACAAAAACCATGACTTTTAGCTTGGGTGGACCTGCAAGGAGTGGAGGAAAAAAAAAAAGCACACAACCCTAGGGCATCACGTATGCAGGAGTATTTCATTCATAGGACCTACTTGAGTTGATGAAGTGTGCAAATGCATAACAGATGAGTGGTTGGCGGTGGGGGGGTGAGGATGGACAGGAGGGAAGGGGTGAGGCAAGAAAAGGACCATCTGGGGGGCCCTTGGGGGAAGAGACTGTCCTGTATCTTGAGCGTATGGGTGTTGACATCCGGCTGGAGATACCACACAACCGTGTTTTCCAAGGGTTATCGTCACGGGAACCTGGGTCAAGCCTCCACAGGATAGCTCTGTGTTTAATCCTGTAACTGTGTGTGTGAAAGGGGATTTGCTCTTCTTTCCACCTCCTTTGCAAGTGCAGAAGGAAACCCTGGGGCGGCCGCACAACGTCTGGACTGCTGGGTGCACGATGTGGACTTCCTGACGTGCAGCTGGGAGGTGGGCAGGGAGGCCCCCAGTGATGTCCAGTATCGCCTGTACTGGCAGGAGCTGAGGTAGGTGTGGCCATGGCACGGCTGGGCTCTCCCCAGGCACATGGGGCTGCTGGGTCATTACTGGGTGCTCCCTCCTTACCGAAGGACCCACAGGGAGCAGGAGTGTCCACATTACGAAATGGATGATCGGGGGAAACACGTCCGGTGTCGTTTCAATGATGTGTCCAGATTGCCGAAACAGCTCCAGATCCTGGTGAGAGGCACAAGCCACGGCGCCAGGATCCCCTGCTTGGACCGTTCTGTCGAATTATCAGAAATTGGTGAGTACAGGTCAAGGACACGACTCTCAGGCTATACCCTCAGCTCTGGGATGCTGGTGTCTGAGCTGAGGGGGCTGTAACAAAATAACCCCAAACGGCCGGCTGAAATGACACATGATTTCTCATGGTTCTGGCAGCTGGAAGCCCGACCTTAAGGGGCCCACAGATCTGGCTCCTGGTGAGGGTCCCTCTTCCTGTCTTGCACCTGGCAGCCTTCTCACTGTGACTTCACGTGGGGGATGAGGGAGAGAAAGGGAGGTCCGTTCTCTTTTGCTTATACAGACCCGAGTCCCATCATGGGGGCCCCACCTTCATGATGTCAGGTAACCCTAATTACCTCCTGAAGGCTCACCTCTGAATGCCATCCCACTGGGGGCCAGGGCTTGTGCATTCGGGGATGACATGCGTTCAGCTCCTAGCAGTGGCTATGAGCTCCTTGCACCTAAGGAAGTAACCCACTTGCTTCTGGAACATTCCCATAACACAAGGGACACATGCCTCCAAGTCATAAGTCTTGGAGAGGGGTGAGAGTCATGCCCACAGCACCTGTCAAGGCCCTGCATTGATATGCCTATGGGTTTCTGGAACACAAACCCCATCGTAACAAAGCTATGTCCCCATCCATTTTCTTTAACTGGACCCCTCCCCAGATTGTGACAGCTTTCAGCCTCCGGGAGCCTGGGCCTGCCCTGGCGGGTCCACGTGGGGTAAGGAAGCACATGGCCGGCTACATGAATTGAGACGTGGTGCAGAGGGGAAAAAGGCAAGCCCTCTTGTTTGAAAAGCAGGGGGACTCTCCCTTTGTCTGTGGCCTCCTGCCTCTTGAGCTCCATGCTATGTTTTACTGGCACTGATTGGACCCTGTTCCCTCAGACGTGGGGCCCTCACTGGTACATCCAGGCCGTGTCCAAGACCACCTGCAACTCAATGCACGCTCCCACCTGGACCCCTGTGTCCTCCCCCCAGCTCCCAGCAGGGGTGGGAGGAGACAGTGGTTAGTGCAGTGGGGCGGTGGGTGTCTGAGAGCCCCGTGGGGATGCACGGAGGGGTCAATGGGAACTGGGGGCTCTGTGTCCCCAGTGCATGCTCCATTATTCCCCAGGAACACAAATTGAAAAATGCCTGTTGTCCCCTCAAAAGATCTGTCCATATCTTGGCAGCTGTGAATGCCACCTTATGTGGAAATAGGGTCTTTGCTCTTATTACAGGCAGGCCCTAATCCAGTATGGCAGTTCCCTTACAAGAAAAGGAGGAGACACAGAGGCCAACCCAAAGACAGACGGGAAGGCTATGGGAGGCTATAGGGGTGATGTGTCTATACCCCAGGAACGCCAAGGATCGCCAGGAGCTACCCCAAGTGGGAAAGGGGCCTGGAACAGATTCTCCCTCTGAGCTTCCAGAAGGAACCAGCCCTGTGGACACTTGGGTTTCAGATTTCTGGTCTCCAGAACTGTGAGGAGACATATTTCTATGGTTCAAGCCACCCGTTGGTGGTGTACCAGGCAGCCCTGGGAAATGAATACAATACCATTACTAGCAATTTCAACATGGCACCAGGAGAGCATGGACCCAAGCCTGGGGCCATGTGCAAGGACATCAGTCACACACAGCTCTGCGCTGGGATGGGCCAGGTTCAGGCTTGCAGGGGTGGCTGCTGAAGAGTGTCCCGGATGTTGCCCGTTGACACCAAGAGAATAGGGCCGTGGTGCTTTATTATTTCCCAGTTGGTACCTTAATAAATGATCCCAAACCATGAGGCTTAAAGCACAGGAATTTATCCCCTAGCCCTGGAGATCCAGGCGGGGCAGGACCTCTGAGATCCAGGCGGGGCAGGGCTGTGTTCCCTCCTGAGGCTCCAGGGGAGGGTCCTTCCTGCCTCTTCCAGCTTCTGGGGCTCCAGGCGTCCCTGGGCTCGTGGCCACATCCCTCCCATCTCTGCCTCCATCTTCAAGTGGCTTCTCCTCTGTATCCGTGTCTCTTCTGTCTCTTACAAGGACATCTGTCATTGGATTTAGGGCCACCGTGATCTAGGAGGACATCATCTCAAGATCCTTCCCTTATTATACCTGCAAAGACCCTGTTTTTAAACAAGATCCCATTCACAGGTTTTAGCGATTTGACATGGACGTACCATTTGGGGGTGACCATTCCCCTCCCTGTAGAGCTCTGTAGAAAGTGACTCACGTCTCACCCTGTCCCTGGCCCTTCCTCCCACAAGGAGCCATAGGTGTACAAGGGGACCCTGCCTGTGCGTGTTCTATTGTGACAAGAGTCTTTCAGCCCACAGGCAGGCAGGATGTGAGCACTCTGCCCAAAGTTGGAGGGGCTGGTGGGTAACCCTGCTCCCTCGCCTGGGCTGGGTGGCGCCTAGCAGGCGGGTTCTGGGCTGTCTTCAGGGTTGCTCCCCAGCAGGACTGACCTACCTGCCCTTTGGGGTGCCCCTGCCTTCCTGGCCTCACTCTCCTGGCCCTGCCAATGGGCGCATCCTCCCAAGCAGGCTTCCTGCCCTGTCCCCTGCTTCTGAGGGGACAAGGCCTTTGGTGGGGTGGGCGGGGGGTGTCCCACAGCAAGGTGGCCACAGATGGGCAGGGCCTGGTTGGCTGCAGGGAGGAGGGAGGGGAGTTGGTTTTGAGACTATTTTGTGGATGGATTCTGTGCGTGCCGCTGTGGTAGAGGCAGGACTGAGGGAGCCTGGGGGCAGGGTGACGTCATAAATAGGGGAGGGGAAGGAGGAAGAGGGCCAGCAGAGAGGAAGAGCAGGTGGGTTTGGGGGCGGGGGAGGAGGAGACCTGGAGCTGGGGACTGCCCTGTAGTGAGCTTTCAGCCAGGGGTCCAGGTGGAACGCCACTGCAGGCAGGTGAGGACCCAGGGCTGGGCTCCCAGTGGCGGTCAGACCTGCGGTGTAGTTTCAGACGTGGTCACGTCGGAAGCTTGGCGAATCCATGAAGTCAGGGGAGGCTGAATGCCCAGAAGGAGGGCAGAGGGCAGAGCACCCGAACGGGGCCGGCCAGGAGGGTCTCAGCACCCAGAAGGCAGGGCAGGACGTCCGGGCAAGACCTGGCTACAGCAGGCGCGGCCTGGAGAACGTGAGGAGGACAGGTGTTTCTGGGAGTACAGCTGGCCGGCCAAGGGCTTTGGAAATGGGACGCACCCTGAGCAGGGTGGGGAGCGGGCCAGGCTACCGGACCTGGGGACGTCCAAGGCACAGACCTAAAGAGTGCTTTCCAGAAGGGTCCCAGGGTGGGTGGGGGTCTCTCACAGGCTCCTGTCTGAGCAGCTAGACCTAACGATAATCCAAGTGGAGAGATATCTCAACATATTTTGTCATGCATCTATATTGATATTTTGCCCATTCTTTAACCTTGGAATGACCTTTTCCTCTCCTCCCCACCACCCTAAATTTCTATGAAGCCTGTTTTCGAAGTATCTTCTGGGAGTGGAGGCGGGGAATGTTGATTTGTTTTACTCATAAAAGTCTCTTTGTTTTTTTTTTCCTCCTGTCCTAGAGAGATTAAGTCCACCCAATATCACTGCAATGTGTAACAAATCATATTCGATGATGGAATGGAAAGCGTCAAGCCACGTCAATCTCAGATTTGAGTACGAACTTCAAATACAAAAGGTAAATGCTTGTCCTAGCTGGCAATTCTAGATTCTCTAGAATCTGTACCCCAAAGCTTTGGAGGCAGATAAAACATACACACAAAAAAATATGAATCAAAAAAAAGTTGTTTAGTCTTTTAAAAATAAACACAAATAAAAATAAAGTAAAAAAATAAATAAAAATAAAACGTAAATTTTAAATAAAAAAAAACATAAACCCTACATAAAAATGAAGAATGTTAAGACAAAAAAAAACTGAAAAAAATTAAAGATCACGTAAGCTTTTGTATGTGTGAAAATCATCAAAAGAAAATACACAAACCCTAAAAAAAAAAAATTTAGCTTTAACAAAAGAAACAATGTTGGCTATTCAAAATACAGAGGTAAAATTGAAAATGCAGGTCACAGATGGAAGAAACCAGGTGCGTATTTGTCTGTCAAAGGACTCATGTTTGGGGTGGATGAGAAAGGCTTCCAAGTCAATACCAAGAAGACAAACAACCGCATAAAAAAAAAACAAAGGGCAAGAAGTTGAAACAACCACTTCCCCAAAGATGTATTCATGCCCCATAAACACATGAAAAGGTGCCACAGAAACACAAACCACAGGGAGAGGCCACTCTCCCCACACCTCAGATTGGCTAAAACAACAAAGTCTGGCCAAACCAAGGGTGGGTGAGGCTGTCACCCAGTTGATTACAACACTTGCTTGTCACAAACTGGTGACCATTTCAAATGATATACGTGGCTTCTTCTTCTCTGAGATGTCCCTTGTGGATGAACATTCTCCGTATTGTAAGAGCCAGGATAAAATCCTATCCTTTTAAGAAAAATATGGCACAGGCACTTTGGAAGAGGCTTTGGTAGTATCTCGTGGAGGCAGCCATTCCCGTGCGGGGTCTGGCTCCGAGAATAATGAAAACATAAGCCCACCAAAGTGAGGACCTGTGTGTTCATAGCAGCTGAGTTTGGGAACAACCCAAGAGAAGGGACGAACAAAAGATATCTGCTCTGTGGAGTCCGAACCCCCAGTGAAGGTCAGCCAGACTCGAGGTCCACCCTAGAGGATCCCATTTATATAGAGAAGCATAGAACATGCAGAATGACCTATAGTGAGTGACACACGTGTGCTCTGGGTGTGTGCAGGGAGGAAGGCATGACAGAGGGGCATAGGGAAATTTGGGGGTGACGGGGTCGTTCCTTACCTGGAACGCTGAGGTGGTTTTATGTGCACAACATTTCTCAAAGCGCACCAAATCCTGTGCTTTCAATGTGTGGTTTGCTCAAGCAAATTATGCCTGAATAAAGTTATCTTAAAAAATGATCAAGTATGGGGGCGCCAGGCCGGCGTAGTTGGTGGAGCGTGAGACTCTGGATCTCGCGGTCGTGAGTTTGAGCCCCACGTTGGGTGTAGATACTATGAATAAATAAACTTAAAAAAATTATAAGTCTATAAGTTAAAAGAAAATGACAAAATGTTTTGAGCTAATTAGTATTTCATACTCAGTTATTAAATGTATTATGTTTCTTTACTTCTTTGTGTATTTATTTATTATTTATATTCAACTAGTGATTATACCTAATGTTTCTGTAAACCTAAAACTGCTTAGAAGGATAAAGGTTATTAATTCCATTAAAAAAAAAAAGACCAGGTATTTTTTAGTTAATCCCTCCTTTATACTCATATTTATTTATATATGATATTTATATATGATATTGATCATTTAGACTCAGTCCCTGATTATTTTGTACTCGGTTTCTGTATAAACCTAAAAGGGCTCAAACAAGGGCCTTCGTCAGGGGACAGCATCAGACACCCACCAATTTCCACTCCTGTTTTGTAGGGCAGCGATCCCGCCTACACAGAGAAGGTGAGTGTCCCCCACCCTCCCTGAACTGGGCATCACAAATGTGTTTTTCTTACTGTCCAGCTACTCCGCGGTGCCCGACTCTGTGTGGGGGCCCCGCTCACCCATCTGGCAATCTGCAGGAGTCTGTGCTGAGTGGAAACAGCTCGGAGATGAAGCTCTGTCCTCACGTGGCTTCTCCTCTGTGTCTGTCTCCACTTCTGTCCCTTGTTAGGGTACCTGTCATTGGACGTAGAGCTTCATTGATCCAGGATGAGGTCATCCTGAGATCCTTCACGTAAGCACATCTGCAAAGAAGGTCCCGACTACAGCCTCCGGGGGGAGGGGACATATCTTTCTTGGGGAACGGGGTGGGGAGGTCCCCATTCATAAGTTGGCAGGGCACAACACCTACTCATGGCACCATAATCTTGGCCTCGTTGAGGGTGTCCCTGGGTTCTTTACCTCCCAGTGATGACGAAGAACATTTTTGTTTGGACACCAAGAGCCTGGGCTGAGAAAGGTAGGGGGCTCCAGGATCTGGGCCCCTCTGAAGTGCAGGCATCTTCCCTGATCGAGGCTGGTCGGGTCTGCTCTCTTGGAGGGCCTGTGTTAGCTCCTCCGGTGGGGGGACACCTGCCGTAACTCGTGTCCCAGACTGGGGGTTTTAAAACACAGCTCTATTCTCTCCAGGTCGGGGAGACCAGACGTCCGAGATCCAGATGGGGCAGGACCTCGTTCCCTCCGGAGGCTCTAGGCTTTTCTCCCAGCTTCTGGGGCTCCTTGGCATGATGGGAGACCATCATGCACACGGTCTTCCCCCGGTGTGTGTGTGAGCGTGTGTGTGTGTGTGTGTGTCTGTTGCCAAATTCCCCCTTTGTGTAACCACACCAGTGGTAATGGATTATAGCCCCCCTACCCAAGCGGCCCTCTCCTTAACTGATTGCATCTCCTCCAACCTTGTTTCCAAAGGAGGGCAGCTTCGGAGGCGCTATGGGGTGAGAACGTTCACACACGAGTTCAGGGGAGGACCCACTCCACCCACGACAGGGCCCCGTTGTCTCCCTGCCAACCGGGAACAGCCGTTCCTTCTTTCCTTTTCAACCTCAGCTCCAGGAAAACTTCTTCCAGATTCACAATCCCGGGAACTACATGGCGAGACTAAAGGTGAAAGGTTTCTTCCGCAACACGTGGAGCGAGTGGAGTGCCCCCCAATACTTTGGTGAGTGGGGCACCCTTTCACCTCTCCCTCATGTGCGCTGGATGCTGGGGGGGCACCAGCCCTGGTCAAGGAAGCACAGACCCCTCGCTCGTTCAGACGGGCTCTTCATCCCTGCTCTTGGATGCTCTGCCGCCGAAGGAGCCAGAATCGAGCTCCACGCGCTTCCGTGTCCTCAAAGATGGCTCTGAAGACAACAGCTGACCCTGCGCCTTGTGCTCACCCCATGGGGGGGGCAGAGAGGGGGAGGAGCAAGACCCCCAGTTAGAGCCCCCATGGCTTGTTGTCAGCAGGCGCACGACTTCCTCTTTTATCCAACATGGTCCCTGGCGTGGCTCTTGGGCCTGATTAGAAGGATTTCCCCCAAAATAAGAGCTGCCATTTCTCCCTGACCTGTTCTGAAACCAGACCCTCCTCCTGGGCTCCCCCAAGAACGTCCTGTTTCAGAGGTGGCACATAGGAAACCTTGGTCGTGGGGCTACTGCAATAAATAACCACACGTTGTTGGGGAGGGGGCTTAAAACCACGGGAATCCATCCTCCTCTAGCTCTGGAGACCAGAGTCTCAGATCCAGGCGGGGCAGGACCGCTGAGATCCAGGCGGGGCAGGGCCCTGCTCCCTATGGAGATTCCAGGGGAGGGTCCTCCCTGCCTCTTCCAGCTTCTGGGGCTCAGGTGCCCCTGGGCTTGTGTCACCGTCCCTCCCATCTCTGCCTCCATCCTCACGTGGCTTCTCCTCTGTGTCTCCTGTGTCCAAATTTCCTCTCTTTATAAGGACACTCGTCATTGGATTAGGGCCCATCCTATTGACTGGGACCTCACGTTTACTTGATTCCATCTGCAAAGACCCTCTGCTGTGGGCTCAAATGTGTCCCTCCAAATTCACCTATTGAAGTCCTCAGCCCCAGGACCTCAGGATGAGACTGTATTTGCAGGTGGGGTCTTTAAAGAGGTGGTTAAGGTAACATGAGGTCAGTAGTGTGGGCTCTGATCCCATAGGACTGGGGTCCTCATAGGAAGAGGGGATGAGGACACAGACACCCACAGAGACGACCCTGTGAGGACACGGGGAGAACACGGGGTCTACACGCCCAGGAGAGAGGTCTTAGGAGGAACCCGCCTCGGCCCCGCCTGGGTCTCGGACTCCCAGCCTCTAGGACAGTGAAACCACAGATATCTGCTGTTTCAGCCACGCTGTCTGTGGGACCTGGTTGTGGCAGCCCCAGAAAACTCACAACTCCCCACAGGGCCCCTCTGTCCCAGAGGGGAGCCTGAGGTCTTTGCAGATCGGTGCGTCACGGGCTCCCCCTCCCGGCCAGGCTGCAGGGGAATGCTCGCGGTCTAGGACCAGGGCTCGGCTACAAGAGGTGTGGCATTTGGGAGGTGCCCCAGGGGCTTGCGGTGGGGGCCTCGGTGTGGCGGCGCTGTGGCCGGCCCCCTGTGCAGGGGGCCACTGCCCCCTCCTGGACGCGCGCGAGTGCCTGCTGCCTGTCGGGGAGCCCCTGGGGAAGGCTTCGGGGCTGGGTGCAAGCACCAGCCCTGGGACCTGCTGACGTGCCCCGTCCACCCTCTTTCATAGCGTGCGACCTCGGGGAGGACGCGCAGTGGCCCAACTGGCTGTTGACCACGCTGGTCTTGCTGGGAACACTGCTGGCCCTGGGACTCGCGGTCGTGCTGTGTGGAAGGTGAGCGCAGCGCCCCCTACGCCCCCGTCCCACCCCTCCCGCCGCCGCGTGCGGGTCCTACCTGCTGGACCGCGACACCCCCAGGGAGCAGCCTGCCGCCTCAAGCGTCCCCGGGGTCCTTCGGAGACATGACCCTGTTCTGGTCCCTCCCGCCCGTGGAAATCCAGAAGGTGGGACCGGTCCAGCACCCTCAGGACCCTCCCTCCTCAGACCCTTAGTCAAGCGCCGGGTCTACAGCCAGGCTCACCTGCGTGTCCCCACGTGTCGCCGCTGTTCGGCCTCTTACCCCGGCCCCGATTCCCCATCCCCGACACCCTTCGGGGCGTGACTCTGGGAGCCGCCTCCCTCGTCCCCCTCCTCCTCCTCCTCCCCCTCCCCTCTCCCTCCCCCTTCTCCCCTCCCCCTCCTCCATCTCCCCAGCAGGCAGAGGGCCAGCGATGGGGTCATCCTGACCTTTCCCACCGGATAGCAACTCCTGCCCCTGGGGCGCCTCCCAAATGCCAAATTGCAGAGCCCTGCCAGGTCCTGTCCCGCGGGCGGGCCTGGGGGTCTGTCCCTGGGGGCTCTGGCCTCTCTCTGGCTGCACCCACGCCCCTCCCAGCCGCTTCAGGCAGAGCCGCCCAGCCCAGGGGCTCGGGCGTTGGGCGTGGATGGGCCTCCTGCTCAGGGGCCACTGGTCTGTGTGGAAGCCATGGGGAGTGGCAGGGTCCGCGGTGGGTGCCAGCAGCCTGGGGCCGGGGGTCTGTGGCAGGGGCCGGGGTGGGGTGCACGGGCCCCAGCAGGAGATCAGCACTGGGCCCCTGTGGACCAGGATTGTTCGTGGCTGTAGGACCTGGTGCTGGAGGCAGGCAGTAGAGACCAGCCCCCCACCCACCCCCACCCTGGGACTAGTGTCCTAACTCCAACCCAGCATCGGGGGGCCCCCGAGTTCTGTTTTCAGAGCCTGTGTCTCTGGCATCCAGTGCCCCCCAAGCTCTGGATTTGGAGCCTGTGGCTCTGTCTGGCGTCCAGTGCCCCCCAAGTTCTGGATTTGGAGCCTGCGGCTCTGTCTGGCGTCTAGAGGCCTCCGAGTTCTGGATTCGGAGCCTGTGGCTCTCTGTCTGGCATCCGGTGCCCCCAAGTTCTGGATTCGGAGCCTGTGGCTCTCTCTGGCATCCGGTGCCCCGCCCCCCGAGTTCTGGATTCGGAGCCTGCGGCTTGGTCTGGCATCCAGAGGCCCCCAAGTTCTGGATTCGGAGCCTGTGGCTCTCTGTCTGGCATCCAGTGCCCCCAAGTTCTGGATTCGGAGGCTGTGGCTCTCTCTGGCATCCGGTGCCCCGCCCCCCGAGGTCTGGATTCGGAGCCTACGGCTCAGTCTGGCGTCCAGAGGCCCCCAAGTTCTGGATTCGGAGCCTGTGGCTCTCTGTCTGGCATCCGGTGCCCCCAAGTTCTGGATTCGGAGGCTGTGGCTCTCTCTGGCATCCGGTGCCCCCAAGTTCTGGATTCGGAGGCTGTGGCTCT